CCCGTTTTGACCCAGAGAACACGCTGAATCACATTTACCTAAAGTCAATATTGAAACAAAATATATTAAAAGGGGGACAATGTCGCCCGTTTTGACATAGAGAACACGCCGAACTACTTTTTTTTCATAAAGTCAAAATTGAAACAAAATATATTAAAAGGGGGACAATGTCGCCCGTTTCTACACAGAGAGCACGTAAAAACCACTTTTTTTGATAGTCGAAATTTAAACCCTACTGCATGATAACCAACTCCATAGTGGGATCGAATTAAATATATTTATATTTATTACCTATTCTAGACATTGCTAAATAGCAAAAAAAGAAAAAAAGTTATGTACCGTTGGCGACGGCAACTCTTCGCATGCGCATGAGTGAGGGGACGGAGGGCAAAACTTCCTAGGGCGGTACCCAAAACTAAGTAGACGTGACTTTAAATGCTGCAGATACTATCACAAGCGCTGACTTATTATGCTATATTTTAAAACCAACGTTATCACCTCATTAGGCGTAATTCTTTTAATATATACTTAGTACTTTTTTTACTGTATGATAACACACACCTGCGAATTTAAACTTCATAAAAGTGGTTTTGGTTTTAACAACAGATTTTCTATAATAAGGATATTTTACAAATCGGGAAGAAAAAAAGGAACCGCTTACTTAGATCAAATTATTATTTCGCTAACCACAATGAGTATTTTTCATTATTATGTTTGTTAACAAAAATACAAACTGAAGAAAAGGGGAGAACATTGATGTCAAACGAATATGATTTGTGTTGTGGTCTTTCTTTATGTATTGCGTTATGACGTTTTGTGAAAAATCTGTACGTGATAGAGAAAAATGGATATCATTTGCGGATTCAGCGTACAGGAATTATTGTAGAACATGTAAAAATTTCAAGACAATAAAACCATCGCAGGCCTGTGTAATTAATGATTGACACCACCAGTGTTGGAGTGTTCTAATGTTACTAGGTTCATTATTTTATTAGCTGTTTGGGAGAGACCTTAGTTTCTCTGCAGACAGAAGTAAAATGTGTGGATACCAAACAAGATTTCTTTTGGCTTTCTTCTATTGGAAATATTCTCTTACATTGAGTGCTGTAGTTACATACTCCTGTTTTACATTGTTTTTCGCCAAATATATTTTATAGAATTAATGCCAACAAGAAATTTTCCTGTTTCGATTTAAGTCATCAGCCAAAAAATTAAACCCTTTGAATCCTTTATATTAATATAGATATATCTTGCTACTTTGGTGTAACATTTTCACTGTCAAACTACAACCATGCCAAGTTTACTGTTAAATATCTATCCAAACGAGTCAATTTCTTGAGCTTCGATACTTTCTCTTTATTCACATCTACCAGAAAGATGTTCCGTGTCTTTCATTTTTATCCAAATAGTTAACAATCTGATAGGATGCATAAAAACAGCTGAAACGTAAAGAACCAAAACTGTTCACTATAGGATTCAGGCTAAAGTTGCGCGTTAACATTAATTTTATGTCCTGCTCTTACAGTTGTTCAAAACCATAAAGTTGTTTTGCAGAGGTTGTGACTTATATTCTGTAACATTGAGGTGTTACAGTTACGCAGAATGGTGTAATTCTCTGTTTCAAATATTCTAGGCTGTTTGTGACATGTACACCAAGTGTTTAAATGTATCCGCTAAGTTAGAGAAACCCGAAACGAAGTAACAGAGTGAAGTTTTGATGTGGCCTTACAGAATGCTATGTTTTAGTCCATTCGACAGAACATTAATTAAAGAATACTGACTTGACCGAAGATTTGCAAAACATACCAGAAGACATGTGGTTTCAGGAGGACGTGCAACGTCTCACCACACATTAAATGTGAGAAACATATACCTGAATGACAATTTTGCAACAGATAGACAGGCCAGTGGCATGGTGTGCATGTCTTCTGATGCCAATGATATGATCTTCGTGCTCTTCTGATGCAATATCATAGTCTGCTTTTCTGATTTTACACCATTAGACATTTTTATTTCAGTGGGTTTCCTTGGGACCAGTATGGGAAATAATGGTATTTCATTGCCCTCATCTGTACGAAACATCTTCTAGCGGAAATGTTTATCCAGCTCCTTCTGCATTATGAGCCATTCACAAAATTCACACATCAGTTTGGGTTATCTTCTGGAACATGAGCAGCGTAAGATTGGAAACTCGTTTCTTTGCTTATTGCTACTACTAGCACAATTTGATGAATTGATTTTGTTGAGCTAGCAAAAGAGACATATATTCTGAAAGTTTTCATTCGTTGCTGTAGAAGGTCTTCCAAACGACCAACGCTTGTATGAGACTAGGTTTCGCGTCCAGGACGCCTCAAATTAAACATTGTCGCGAACTGCAGGATCCCCACACAACAGGATTCTTTTCGCACGTTCTTCCAAATTCAATGACGTTACAACCAATTACTGTAACTAAAGAAAAGAAAAAAGAAGGAGAGAGAAAGAGAAACGTAATTATAAAAATCTTAGTAAGGGTAGGACTTAAAAATATCACGGTAGTGTGGATTTTTTGTATCATTCAGTATTGCCAAGCAAGACCCATTTAAATTAATGTTATGCCACGGGATTTTCCAAATTTTCATTAATTTCTATATTTCATTATCTAAAATACCTGTGCTTTTTTAATAAATAAATAAAAAAAAAAAAGATTGTACATTTTTTTGTGAACCATTTGAAAACTAGCCCCTTTGCTCAGTTTCAGACAGTAAATACCCCCGAGACGAAAACAAAATGAAATTTCCGTACTTATGCCGTTTAGAACAGTCGTAATATCTCTATCGTGTAAGGTGTCTGTTCAGACCAATAAATTATAATCGTTTTCCTGTGTTTCAAAGAGAAACTAATCCTGCACCTTTCCCACGATCTATGCAGAAATTGTAATGTCCGAGACTGAATTTTAAGATTATTTGTCTTTAGAACTTCCGTTAGTATGATAATGGGAGTTGACAATTCGCCAAAATGATACGTAAGAGGAGAAAAAGGGCTGGGTGCTTGCCGGAAACGATGACATTTTTATTACTGGAGATATTACATGAAGTATATCATTTATAATAAAATCCCAAACAACAAATCTCCACCGTTTAACGACACTGAAACTTTTCCACAGGTATTTGTGAAGAAGGAGGAAATGATACGTCATTTCAAGTGGCACAAAAAGCGTGACGAATCTCTTCAGCATGGCTTTCTGCGTTACAGTCCAATGGACAACTGTTCGGACAGGTTTACAAACTGTTCCCATAACCGGAAGCAAACCCATTACCACTGCTTGAAGGTGAGATCTAGTTTCAGATATGGATTAAATATTACATTTCATTATTATATTCATATTATTCCTGTTTTATACAGCTCTTTACATTTCCCAGCCATACTCAAGTCCGATCTTTATCTTGGTTACGAATACACAGTATTTTTCTCGGAAATATCGTTGTTCTGTACACGTATCAGACGTTAGAGCTAGAAGGTAGGTACTTAAGGGCAGGCAAAGAAGTCCAATAGGTGCACGCACAAAAACTCGTTTTTCCCAGAATTTGAAATGAGGGCCGTAAACGAATGAAATGAATTCCTCTATTATAGCCCTTTCAGCCGTGGGGGCGTTATAATGTTTCGGTCAATCCCACTATTCGTTGGTAAAACAGTAGCCCAAGAGTTGGCGGTGGGTGGTGATGACTAGCTGCCTTCCCTCTAGTCTTACACTGCTAAATTAGGGACGGCTAGTGCAGTTAGCCATAGTGTAGCTTTGCGCGAAATTCAAAAACAAAACAAAAAAAACCTCTATTATAAGCCATTTCCATATACCATAAGAGGTTCCCACAAACGAATACACCTGTAACAAATATGGGAAATGACATTCGTTTTTGGAAGAAAAATAAGTTCTAACCAAAAATAAATAAATGGAGATAAAAGAACCTCGTTTGTAAAAGTTTATATTTTTTAAATGCTCATAATAACCATAAAAAAAAATGAGTAAGCATTGTATCTAATGGACACTTTAAACACGGCCCGTCATAGCCATGTTGGTTAGGGCGCTCGACTGAGGGTCACGGGTTCGAATCTCCGTCCCACCAAACATGCTTGCCCTTTCAGCCGTGGGGGCGTTATATTGTGATGGTCAATCCCACTATTCGTTGGTAAAAGAGTAGCCCAAGAGTTGGCGGTGGGTGATGATGACTAGCTGCCTTCCCTCTAGTATTTCACTGCTAAATTATGTACGGTTAGCGCAGACAGCTCTCGTGTAGCTTGTCTAAGTTATCTATATGTAATGCTCACCATTCTTTACTTAGATTACTATAATCTCTGCCATTGTCTAAGTTATCTATATGTAATGCTCACCATTCTTTACTTAGATTACTATAATCTCTGCCATTGTTTACTTTATCATCCTCGTCAGTTGTTGTTTTTTCCATTATATATAAATACTCACCACTAGTTATTATGATGCTTTTTCACTATATTTTTCTATTGTGTACGTTATCTGTATGTAATCCATGTATTAGATCATGTTTAGTTTGTATTTAACCCTAACCAATTATTTATTTATCCGCATATTTTTATACTTTCGTTATTTTTAACCCTAACTAGTTTCTTATTCAAATCCAACCTCGTTGATTTATATTTCTATTATTCTTCATCCTAAAATCCCGATTCATTCAGGAGGGATGCGATAAAGTGTACATCAGCACATCGGATGTCCAGATGCATGCCAACTATCATCGGAAAGACTCGGCCATTATTCGGGAAGGATTCCAAAGGTTTCGGGCGACCGAGGACTGCGGTACTACATCTTGTTCCTTTTACGGTCAGCGAACCACGCATTTTCACTGTCGACGGTCAGGCTGCAGTTATAACTTCAAAAATAAGGCAGATATGGGTAAGAACAGAAACCGGTGGTCACACTTCCACATACACAAAAGCAATATAAGTTCTTTAACCGTTAATTTTTGGAAACCCAGAAGCTTGTGCTTCGTTCTTATAGAATCACTAGCTGGAGTACACGTCCATTGGACGGGTGAAATTAAAAATCCTTTGTAACAAACGATAGGAAATTGTGCTTCATTTTTTTTTCTTTTAACATAATAAACATTAAAAGTGCAATAAAAATTCATAAATGTTTCAATACTGAAAAGAAAGACATATTGTTTTAAAGACTTCTATCAACATGAAATTAGATGGGGTAATCCAACCCCTATGACCTTCCTCGTGTCATCTTGTATCACTGTGTCAAGTTGTGTTGATTTGGCAGTTTTTCCGAAATTAAATGGGGGGGTCTAACTCAAATCCCTTCACCTCCTTCACCCTTTCATTTCAGTTAAAATTAACAGTTCTTGAGCTACTAGCTGTGATGAAACCGCAATGGCGAAACGTTGGTTGAAGTAAACAGTCAGTTATTTTTATTATTCTATGTAAAATAAAGATAGTTTTTTTTCTTTCTTTCTAGATTTATTGTCAACATGTCTAAATCGCTGCAGAGTGCGCTACAAATTCTGAAAAACAACAAAACGTGTCTTCCATCATTTTTTTTGTCAACTGTTCGTGCCTTACACGTATGAATTTATACATACGTTTTTGTTACCAAAGCTTATAATAATTTGTTTTGCATGAAACGCATTAAGCTAATTCAGTGAGCCTTGTAGCAGCCCCCTCCCCATCCAATTTATCGCTGGAAGGTTTGTAGTTTGGTTGATGAACACAATATTACCTTGAAACTCGAAAACTCAGGTTTTCGACCTTCTCCATCACGACCCCAACTATTATTATTTTTTTTTTTATATTTGAAGTGCAACTGCTTGATCTGTAAAAATTGAACTTACCTCCTCCAAGGCTACTGATATCTATGCCACTAGAGGGCGGTGCTAATTAATATTCATGGCACTCGTATGAGAATTCCGTACAAAGTGAAGGTGGCCAAGGTCTCACGCTCCTAAAAAATATAAGGCCAACTATACGTTTAGCAGAGAGTAAGTACTTAAAGTGTACAATTGATGCTAGGTTTTCTTAATCACAACCGGTAATAATAACCCTTAATATTCTTGTTCCATATTTTCTAAAGGTTTATTTTTACTCATATTATATTGATGGCTAAGGTTTATAAACGTCATCATATCTAATTTCATTGTAACTCGTACAAAACATTTATATTAAAATAACTTAATATATTTGGATAATGACATATATTAGTATCTCTGAAGCCATTTTCTTTTTATAAAAAAAGGTATCAATTTTTTATCATTTCATTAAACCTTTTTGATTACAGTTGTTTCTAAGTTATATTTTTAGCCGCGGCACTGCGGCTTGTAAAATGGCTGAGTTTTTTTGTTTGTTTTTTAAGTACAAACTTTTAGTTCATAGCTCCGTCATCTCTTGAACGATTTGAAATTTAATTGCAGTTTTGGACTCAGGAGGTCAAACCCTTTCGACTGACGTATATGACTATACTCCCAAGGTCTCATAGATTAATTTACTCTATAGAAAATTGGCGTAGGGTGTATTAACAATGAATTTTACACTTAGTTAAAACTAGACAACTTTTCATCACAGCTAGTGTTAACGGATAGAAATTGGCATTTTCAATTATTCGTTTAAAATCAACACGATATATTTTGTAATGCGAGGCATACAGAAATGATTTACAGATTTATAAAAAGTCTACAAGTCACACGTGGTAAACCAGTAAAGCTATATTTTCTTTGAAAGAGGGTTATATATTGCAACATTATATTCGCCAGATGATAACACTACTGAACACGATCAAACGCCAGATGTGTACGTGTTGTTTAATTAGGATCTGACAGTTGACATATTTACACACAACAGGAATTTCAAAGTTTCTGTTAAGAACTAGCTCTCAGTGGCTGTTTCATCAATTTTAACAGGTAAATCAAAGTAACTCGCGATTGTCTGGTGTTTTTGAACTAGGTAATAATCAAGAGAAATATGTAACGCATGTAACTTCTGTAACGCACACACGGCACCAAATTGCGGAATACGAATTTTTGCGACAACAAGACGCGAAACATGGACCCTCGGATTCACATTCTGACATGCTACCACCAGACCACACCCAGCCCCAGTAACAACAGATGAATCAATTCAGATTGCTATCTAAATATATGTGAAATGCTATGTGTTCAGTATCTGAATCTCTAGCTCCAAGTTCATGACGTTTACAGCTGCGTCAATAACAGTGGACAAGTGAATCTCGCTTATTTGGTATTGTAATTGCGTTATTCAAACACGTAAAAGTTCGGAAAATTACCCCCACTTAAAAGTAATCGCAGCTGAACCACCTATGAAGTAAGTACCTCTACGATTCACGTGGTGAGAGTTAAAATAAATTACGTTTAACCTATATAAAAAAAAAATTATCTAATTGTCAAACAACTCGAAATAGATTGAACAAGTCTTGGTATAATAATTTTAATTTCGCTTTCCAATAACGTTGAATTATTAAGCCTTTATGTGAATATATGTGGACTGCATTCAATAATTTTGTACATTTTAATGAATTTATTCCATGACGGAATGTAAACCTATTTTATAATTTGTTTTTGTTATAATTAATTCAGAGAAACACAAGACCTATCATATCAAAGACGAACAGCTAAATAAAGATGGCTTCAAGAAGTTTATGAAGCAGGAACACTGCTCATTTCAAAACTGTCGATTCTCTAGGATTTGCAACCACATCCACTGCATCCGTCCAGGTAAGTTGGATGGTTATTTTGACTTTTTATTCGAGATAAAATTAGTCCACTGGACTAATGAATGCGCTTCTAACAACGTTTCGTGTTGCGAAAGTAGTTTCGGCAATGTCAGGAGCATATCTTACGAATTGAGATGGCCTTATGGGATTCTGAAATCTTACGAATTGAGATGGCCTTATGGGATTCTGAAACTACGTTGTTTTCTCTTCAAGAGACGATGACTGTTGACTAGTCGGAATATTGACCCCCCCCCCTGCAGTTACAGCTCATAAGTACGGGGTTTTCGAGAAACGATAACGGTTGACAGATTGGAATATTGTCCTCAAATAAATCCCCTTGCAGTTACAGCTGATAACTACGAGGTATTTAGGAGGAGGATAACTGTTGACAGATTGGAATATTGTCCTCAAATAAATCCCCTTGCAGTTACAGCTGATAACTACGAGGTATTTAGGAGGAGGATAACTGTTGACAATTGAAATACTGTCCTCAAAGTAATCCCCCCTCTCTGCAGTTACAAGTGAGTTTGATGTCTCTAATGATCGAAATAAGTCTTTGATTAGTCACTTCCTCTTTCAGTTAGTTTTATCTTCTTAATCTATAGCCTTTTTATAATATTAAGACTAAAGAGAAGGCTTAACCCCTGATAGAGAGTACTTCCCATTGTAAAATGATATACCAGTTTAAGGAAAATGAGATTATCGTTTACTGATAAAGTTATCTACTAATCCAGCTTATTGTTTATCTCAGTAAAGAATCCAACCATATAGAAAATGAGATATCAGCCTAGCCTATTTGCTGGTCTCAGAAGAAAGATATTATCTTTTACTGATAAAGATATCTACTAATCCAGCTTATTGTTTATCTCAGTAGAGAGTCCAACCATATAGAAAATGAGATATCAGCCTAGCCTATCTGCTGGTCTCAGGAGAAGGAGATTATCGTTTACTGATATAGATATCTACTAATCCAGATTATTGTTTATCTCAGTAGAGAGTCCAAACATATAGAAAATGAGATATCAGCCTAGCCTATCTGCTGGTCTCGGGAGAAAGAGATTATCGTTTACTGATATAGATATCTACTAATCCAGATTACTGTTTATCTCAGTAGGGAGTCCAACCATATATAAAATGAGATAACAGCCTAGCCTATCTGCTGGTTCCAGAGTTCACTGTTCCAATTCTGTCGGCATGAGTTCAATCACCTTAATCAAAAACTTCCAAGATTGACATCCTCTATGAACGAGTTTATACGCATTCTATTCAAACACATTATTGGTATCTTAGTAACAGTATTAGATATGGTTTACTGTGTAGTATGTTTATTATCACTAAAAAAATACGATTTATGTTATGGCTTTACCTTATTCAATGTGGTCAGTATGCCTTAAATTCATAGCAACAGTTGAATCTTGTTCGAACATAAATGAACTAGTTTCAAGTTCATCAAAGAAGAAAGCTCCTCCTAGTGGGTAAGTTTACCGACTTTCAACGCTAAGATCCGGGGTTCAATTCCCCGTGGTTGACAAAGCGTAGATAGTCTATTGTATAGCTTTGCGCTAAGAATTATAGACAAGCACTTAAAAAGTATGCAACGTTTGAAAAAAAAGTATAATGGAAGTGGCATTACTTACTGAACTGTTAGAAATTCAAACTGATCGACAAATGAAAAACAATTTGACATTTTTCATTCTTCACCCAACTTCCTATTAATGTTCAATGCATGAAAACATAATTGAGGTAGTGTTAGGGCGTTGAACGTTTCAATTTGTTTAGTGTTGAGAAATCTGTGTGTGTGTGTGTGTGTCGCTACTGGTGCCTTTGAAAGTACGGGTAAGCATCTTAGGTTTCATCTAGAATTAATTTGTGAGTTTTAGTGTACTTTTAATAGATTTCCCAAAAACGTTCATTTTTCGAAGGAAAAAACATGGTTGGAGGCCTGGCATGGCCAGGTGGTTAGGGCGCTCGACTCGCAATCCCCGTCCCACCAAACATGATCACCCTTTCAGCCGTGGGGCGTTATAATGTTACGGTCAGTCTCAATATTCGTTGGTAAAAGAGTAGTCCAAGAGTTGGCGGTGGGTGGTGATGGCTAGTTGTCTTCCCTCTACTCTTTCAATGCTAAACTAGGAACGGCTAGCGCACATAGCCCTCGTGTAGCTTTGCGCGAACTTTCCAAACAAACCAAACTCATTTAAAGCTGTGAGGGCGTTTTAAGAATGACAGTGGTAAGGTGCTGCTGTCTGGCTGCCTTTTTCCTGGTTAGAAATTCAAAACTAGAAGTTACTGACCATTAATATAATCTCGATATGGTGAAACCTGTCTTCAAGTTGTAGTCTATTATTATTCAAAATCATAAAATGACCACTCTGACTTTCTTAATAAGTGAAGTCAAAGAGGTATTTAATTTCCAAGTTAGAAATTTACTCATCGTTCGTCTTTAAATAATGTAAAATGTTTTTTCTTTCTTTGTAGAGCCAAACAAATGATATTAAGTTTGGTTTCATATCATTTGTTTGGCTCTGTATTTTATGTGAAACTGATCTACAGTCTCGTCTCCCCTCAACGAGTCATCGTCAGGAGTCTTCAACTTCTTCTTTCGTCTTGTGAAATATTTTTGCTCCATCTTGTTATTAAAATATTGATAACGTTCTTCTTTGGCAAATAGATACAGTTAAAAAACAACAACTTTTTTAGTTTACGCAATAAAATTCATTTTATTTGTGACTGTAGATTTGACGCAAGTGTCTGTGAATAATTTTCTACTGCTCTTTCATATAAAGATTCAAATGCATTGTTTCATCAAGTAGCGATATTTTCGGCCGTAAACCCAATAATATCTTTCGAGATGCGGCCAGCTTAGGAGATTTAGGTTAGTTTTAAATCTACATACTAAGCTAACAACCAAAAATAAAACATTCTATCCAACAGTGATAACGAAAGTAACATTTAAAAATATATACAGATATTACCATATGCTCTTTATTCTTGTATAAATTTCTTAGAATGTTTACGCTAATCAAAACATATTAACTTGAAAGCTTTATTCATTACCTAACAACAGCATTATAAATTATTCGATGTTCCATTTTGTGACGACATTTCCTTCTTTGATTAAGGGTTTTAAGGATTTCTATTGTTATTGATACAGGTCATTAAAACAGCTACATGAAGAACTGGAGTAAATGAATAAAGTCAATCTCTTGTGACATATTGAACTTTTGTCATATAAATGCGATCCTTCTAAGATCCCTCATTTTTTCTATTTCTGATTGCCAATAATATTGGTGTTAACGTATATTTTTATGCGTAAGTATTTTTATAGTTTTTGTGTTATGTATTTGAATAAACCGTTTTGTGGCCAACTTGACATCATATTATTTTAAACTTCGTTTTAGGATGTACGTATGTTTTGCATTCAAGTGGACAGCTGTACTCACACAAAAGAAAACACGAAAGACGAGAAAACGAAATGGCATACCGCAAGTATAAACTGGCACAGAATATGATGAAGGCCTTGTCAGAATCGGGATTCGTACCTTCCAGCAATGTCCCAGAACAGGTAAACAACTTGTATAGAGACTATTACACGATTTTCTATAACCTGGAACTATTTATTTAATAAAATTCTGATAATGTAGCGCCACCTATCGGTGTACATAACAATTAAGCTTTATTGCAGCGAAACGTTTTGTTATGGTGTTCTCTTCTAACATCAGATTTAATTATTTTTCAATGGTTTTAAGAAACTCTTATTTAAAAGTTATTAAAACAGCTCGTTAGAAAAAAAATCGATAATTTTGGACTAAGCCGAAACATGTTATATAGGGTGTTGATTTTAATTAATTATTTTTCCATATTAATGGAATCATATTAATGATTTTTCCAATGTACTTTTGTCTTCAAAAATTGGTTAAGAAAATTAAAAAATTCTTGCAGACGAACACTCCCTGGTATGAGGAGTGAGTAATCTGTGCTTAACAACTGTTGTTTAATAGTATTTATAACGGTTAGAAAAATAATAGTCTTAAAACGTCATTAGCATAACGCAACTAAGTTTTATATAAAGTATTTGCTTGTTTGGGCATCGAGAATTTCTTAAATTTCACTTCAAATAGTACATGACCTAGCGACAATTTTGTTATAATTATTGTACAATTAATTTTCGTTTTAATGAGCGCAACGCTAGTAAGTTGACGTCCTGCGAAGTCACTATCATTTAAAGTTTTAAAATTATGTTAACACATTTATTAACATTTACTTTTGAATGCGTTACTCTCTCTCTCTCTCTCTGTCTGTGTCTCACTATCAAGATATTCCATGCATGCTATCCACCGGTAGGTCAGCAGTTAGTCTCTGGACTTACAACGATAAAATCCGGGATTAGATCCTCGTGCTGGATAGAGCGCAGATAGCTCATCATGTAGCTTTACCCTAAAAAAATCATCAAGATTCATGCATGCTGTAAGATATTACTCTTGGCTCTCACTAGAATTCGAGTGTCCATTATTGCATATGTTCAACACTCTTATCCTTTGAAACATTTGTTAACATAATTTTTAAATATCTTTTAAGTTGTAAACATTGAGTAATCTAGGGATTTAAAAATAATACATTCTTCAAAGTAGGTTTTCTGTTAATTCACTGGCGCAAACATTATTTTTTCGGTTTAGAATAAGTGTTTTTAGGTACTAGAAAATTATTAAAGGCTAAATTTGATTCGTTTTATGGACTATTAACATTCGAAATGTATCCGAAAATATATTCTGTTTTGTAGTTCATGAACTTACCAGGGGACGGTTCTTTGAGCTCAAGTCCCACGGTTACATCTATGCCGCCACTCATTCAAACAAGCCTCACTAGCGCCACTTTTAATGGAGCGGTAAATAACAGGAATTCTATGGATAAAGTTTATACTTGTCATCAAGAAAATGCCTGTGAAGATCTTACAGTTTCAGGATCCTCCCCTCAAACGTCTTTTACTAAATTTGAATCAGTGCTTTCATCGTTCGATTTGAAACCTGGGCCGGCTTTTTCTACTCCAGACACCAGCATTAATGTAATCACACCAGAAGCTGTAGACTTAACCAGTGATTTATGTAAAACTAACGACCTGGATAATAAATGGAAAACGTTTGTCAAAAGGTAGGTAATTTTTAAAATTGTTAAATAATTATATATTGTATTAAAATCGTTCGGTTACTTATTAATATTTTAAAATTCGTTTATTAATAGAAACACTTAAACAATATTACAGCTAGTCTCTCCATTCAATAATATGAAATTAAGATGTATTAACTTTTAAGTAAATATTATCTTGATACAGTGACGGCTGAAATAATTCACTTTAGTATAATCAAAAGTTAAGAATCATTCTACTGTTTTAAGAGTCGCGTGATTTTTCCAGATGTTTAAAATTATTCAGTGAAAAATATCACACTGTTTCTTCCACAGTATTTCAATTGGTTGTTTTAACAGGTCAGATCATCTGGCTGTTAATTCTGCTACCTAGATATGCAACAGATTATAGCTATTTCAACTTTTGTGTAACAGCCAATTTCAGTAACAAAAATAGCAATGGCGTGACAAAGCTTCAGTATGGTAAAAAAATAATACATCTGTATAACTTGTTAATTCATTTCCATGCACGCACCAAATGAATTTGTGAAAAAAATTACTGTTATATCGCTTATTTTACGTTAAAAAGAACATTATGTCAAGTCACTACGACTCGGAACACTTGCTAAAAACGTTACCGAACAGTCGGGCCAATACTTACACTTTAGGCCTACTAATTAGCGTGGTGGACTGCCGATGGTTCGCGTTTCATTGATGGAAAATTGCGATCCAAACTATGACAATAACTGTCAAATTCCACTACTTGGTTAGAAAATCATAGGAGTTGGCGGTAGGTGTTGTTCACTAGATCCCGTCCCTTTAGTCTCATTGTTAGTAAACTTTGTTGCAGGTAGTTTTTACACAAATATCCGAAACAAAGAAACTTGTACCTGAAACGCAGCACCCTCTAGGAAATACGTTTAATTTATTTATTTATTTTGAAATTATACTTACGAACATAATTTTAGAGCATGTAGTGTCACGTAATACGAGTTTGGAAAATAATCTTAAACTGTGACTTTTAAATGAAACTTTTTACATCTGAATCATAAGAACTGTAAAAAAAAAACTACGGAAAAATAGTATAAATTATTAAGTTTAAAATCTTTTAAAGAGCAATTTTCTATGGAATTATAAAGTTAAACAAGTTTTTTCAACAATTAAAGAACGTGAAGGTAATGGTAGTTAACTTTGATAAAAGTGTTTTTAAGAGTTAAAATATTACAGTAGGCTGTTTTCAAATCTAATGTAATGGACATATATTTAATATTGTATGTTATAAAACTGATGGAATTTGGTTTTATGATAATTATTATAGAATTAATTGTATTACATCATTGTTAAACGTCACGAAGATCACGTGAACTTTTATTACTGATCTCTTAGTTATAGCTTCAAAAAAAGAAATAAAAGAAACATTGGTTGCATTGTGGTAGTTTGTTATTAGTGAAGCTGTTGGACTATTATTTTTAAGTATCTGATATGTGAAACTAGCTGTTACTTAACTGATGTTATTAAATAAAATATGTCGTCTAACTTGTCTACTTATGCAATACTGTAGAAAGAAGTTGCAAAGTGGGGCACTATAGTACCCTCGGTTCTGATGCTCCTTTTATGTATGTATTAAATAAAGTCATGTATTTTTTTTAATCCTTGCTTTCTGAAAAATGTGTCCTTGTTCTACCAAGCAAGAAATTGGAAAAATATGATTGTTTAAATTTCGTTTATTTATTATTTTAAATAAAAATTAATGTCTCTAAGATACAAAAATGAATATGAAGCTTACCTGCTAAATAATTCGGGAGAATAAATTAGTAGCGTTGAAGCTGGTGAGTAAGACGCAACTAAAAACACCGTACATGTAGTGTTCAGAACAGTACAATATTTAACTATCAAGCAGCCCCCTATTGGCACAGCGGTATGTCGTCGTGACCACAACGCTAAAAACCGGGTTTCGATACCCGTGGTTGGCAGAGCACAGATAGCCCATTGTGTAACTTTGTGCTTAATTACAAACAAACAAGCATCGGACTAAATCCACTCTTTAAAAAAAACCGTTTACAATTACTAAACATATTTCTTGCACACGAAACACGATCCCCCCCCACCAAAAAAAAAAGCGAGATAAACTTGAGACAATTAAAATTGATAATTTGTTATTTTTCCCAAGCTATACAGCGGATGAATTTTGTAAGTCGAGCTGTGAAATCATGTACACTGACCACTTCCACTGTTCTACCGACAACTGTGACATGAGTTTTCGAGCCAAAGACACGAATGGCATAAAAGAACACATCAAGTAAGTATGTTTTTATGTTGTTGTTATCATTCACTTTAGAAAATCTGAACTTCAATTCTATCAGCTACAATTATCATTAAAATTTATCATAATACGTAACGGTAGTACGTAATTTTGGATGTAAATCTTTATGCAGGTTACGGTTCTGTAAATGTTACAAGTATTTCAACTTTAAAAAATTATACAAAAGTACTATAAAATGTTTTAATAGAAGACATCAATTGTTTAATCTACACGTGTCGGTGATTATGTTTCACTATCATTGGGATTTAACCAAGAAACAGTCGCCACACTTCAAAAAAACTCGTGTTTCGATATATACAGTTTCTACTAGTACTGATATTGATAATGGGACCAGAAATATATATAATCACGAGCTTTGGAAACGTAACAACTGTTGGTGTTAAATCCTGTTGGTGATGAGAATTGAACAACTTGTGTCTTCTAATACATCATGCTTATAAAATCATTGTATAATTTATAAAGTTTAAATTAATTTGCACAAGCGCCGTTCTACAGTATTCAACAAACAAGTATTTTTAATTGTAATCGTATTATACTGATAATAGTTGGTTAAAGTTGTTTAATGTATTTTAATTGTAGTTTTATTCTGGCCTATACTATTTTATCAGCTTTGATCACAGTTTTATTTTGGCCTATACTCTTTAACCAGCTTTGACCATAGTTTTATTCTGGCCTATACTCTTCAGAATGCCATTTTTATCCAATCTCTTTTAAGAAAAGCTGTTTTATTTGTTTTTCTTAGAAATCATGAGACGCAGAACAAGATAACGGAGTCTCACTTCATCACAGTGGAAAGTGAATCGTCAGTGCACTGTTTACCTAACTGTTCTTTAGAAGGAACAGACAAACATTATCATTGCAACTGGGTACGTAACATGTATTTATAACAAACATAACCCATTCTTTTATACGACATTTTATTGAATATTGATGGAAATTAAATCATTATCACTGTGTTACTAACTGTTTCTTATAAGACAGAAAACGCTATCATTGAAACTGGAGTATCATGTAGTTAAACACAACCAATGTCTGCGGACTTACAACGTTAGAAACCGGGTTTCGATACTCGTGGTGGGCTGAGCACAGATAGTCCATTCTGTAGCTTTGTGTTTAACTTCAAACAAACAATCACATAGACATTGTAATCATCATAATATAATTATTTAGATATTTTGAAAGCAACCTGTCGTAATAATATTTTTACAATATCAGCACTTAAAAAAATGTTAATTCTTTTAGTGTAAAAAAGATAACTGCAGTGATGAAAAAAAATTATTGCCTCACCCAAGTTTTCCTACCTTTTTTTTGGTTCCTCTTATTTTTTACGAGATTATGCATTGTGGAAGTGTCAGAACTAGTGTAAAACAGTTATGAACATTGTGTGGTGTAAGATTACTCATATTTCAGTCATCCATACATGTATATTTATCTTTATTAACAAACCAACCCGTGACAAACGTATTACGGCAGATTATCAACAAATACTTGGCAAATAGGAAAACGTTCTCTGAGTAAGAAAATCTTGATTTATAAATAACGCCACTAATATAATTGATGAAAACGTGGTCACATAATCTGTTTTTGTTTTGTTTTAATACATGATTGTGTCCCCTCTGGCCTTGATAATTGCTTGACATTGTCGTGGCATAGTGTGAGAGGGGGTTAGTTCATGGTGCCGCACACAGGTTAGGGTTTCGTGTAGTTCTTCAGCCCTATGAAATGGAGCAGGATCATCCTGGAATGTGCACTGGTCAGCTTCACCGAAGGGATCCCGAATTATTGGCTTCAGGAACTCAAAGATCTTGATATACTTGTCGGCATTGACAATGCTTTCACAAAATGCAGGTGTCCCACATCCTGACCAGAAATGCATCCTCATATTACCTGACCTTGCGAATACTTCACAGTTACATTCAAACACAACACGCTGGGTGAAGCTCTTCTCCACATCGACGTCGTACAAAGTGCTTCCCATAAGATCATGCAGGTTGAACTTTGATTCATCTGAGAAGATCACTTTGCTCCAGCCCAATCAGCCCGTTTGAGCTTCATTTTCCTCCTCTTATTGGCGAGGAGGGGATTTCTTTCTTGTTCGTGTTGCTGGGAGACCGGTTGAACACAGGCGAGACTATACGGTGTGCGCAGTGACAGTGACCGCTGAAGTTTCTTGCCATGCTCTTTTGAGATTTGTGGACGTCAGTCGACGATTTTGCAGACTCGTGCGTTTCAAAACACTGTCATCAGCTGTTGTGGAAGCTTCCTTCCTACCCCTTCCCTTCCACCACTCCATATAGCCAGTCTCTTTATATCTCTGCACCCAGTGGCTCACAGTAGACTGGTGAAATTTAATTCTTCCAGCAATCTGCTTTGTATAAAGTCTCCCTTTTCTCAAATAAATAATAAAACAATGACTGCTTTTTTCCGTGGAGTTGACTCGTAACACTGGGCCATGGTGATATCAAACGTTTCTAAACTGACTCTCAGTAAGAATTTCTATTTATAGCAAATAAAACGGCTGGTGCAATATCCAGACAGTTCACAAAGCTGCTTCATCCATGAAACGTATTTGCACCTATATGCATTAGGGCCTCAAAACAGACGACGATTCCGAAAAAAAACGTGTGAAACAATTGGGTGATACAATGCATTTTTCCACCACTGTAAATGTTTGAAGACTTGTTATAATGTATTTACCTTGGAAATGTTTAATTCTCTTTTCACTAAAATGTAGTTTAACATCAACAGATGGCGTCACACTTGCACTTTAATGAACCAGGTTGTTTCAAATAGTGAAAAAAAAAAAGCTATATCTATCCGCCAGATGGCGATACTGCTATACATGTTAGAGATACGATATCATTATTAAAGTATGTAAAATCATGCATGTTGCTGTATACCAAGTGTATATAGGGCTGGATTAACTATGACGGGGACCTGGGGCTTCTAAATTTTGTGGGGTTTTTCTATGCGTATCTAATTTCTTCATTTACCCCCATTGACCGACTTTAAATACTGGGCCGGTTTCAAATTGGAACTTTTTACATTATATAAAAACGTTTTTTGACGTGCACATAGCGATTAGATTGTTATTATTTATTCAGTTGGAATACACCTTCATAGAAGGCGATTTACAGGATTTTCAAACATCAAACTGTAATGCTTCTCTTATACAGCATTATAGTGTAATAAACCGTGCAGCCCCACACTGGAAACAACGTAATAACACGATGGACGAAGTAAAAGTAGAAAGACAACAATATTTCAAAAAGCTTTGATCAAGTTAATAATAGTGAATGTGTATTTGTATGCGACACTTACAAAGTAAGCAGATGAACACCCCCAGCCCGTGAGGCACACACTCGCAGTAAAAATACCGTCTACCAATAAGAACAAGTAGTGGTGTAGGAATCGGGGGAGCAGGCCCCCATTTTTCAGTCTGTCCCAGTAAAAATGCATCATAATTAGGGAAGTTGATCTCAGAAGAAGCAGAAAAATATATAAAATTCGATTCAGAACCCAAGACCTTCCAGTGTCCCAAGGCAAGCCCTGAATCCCGGCCGTAATAGGTATGTGTGTGTGGCGTACATTCCCTCGCTACTCTGGGTTAAAAAACCTTTCCACCCTCAATTTTAATTTGCCATCTACATCTCTGATTAGTATGAGCCATTTGTATGTACAAACTAAAACGTCACAACACTTGTTGAAATGGCTTTTTTTTTAGCCCTTTCCATATTTTTTTTGTATGTGCTTTTTAATTGCAGTTTTGAGCTTTGGTGAGTCGTTTTTTTTATAATTGCAGTTTTGGGCTTGGGTGAGTCGTTTTTTTATAATTGCAGTTTTGGGCTTGGGTGAGTCGTTTTTTTTTATAATTGCAGTTTTGGGCTTGGGTGAGTCGTTTTTTTATAATTGCAGTTTT